AAGGAAGGAAGGAAGGAAGGAAGGAAGGATGAAGGTCCCTACATTTCAGCGGCTGGACCAGGATGGAGCTAAACACCGTGCTGTGATTGGCTGACGTCTGCTGACACGACTCAATCAGCCTCAGTTTGCTGCCGCCAGTTTCCAAAGCGGCTCAGCGAAGCTTTAAGGCGTCATTATTATTATTATTTGGCGTTTCCAGGGACTCGTTCTGGAGGTTTCAGTCCAAACTTAGACGTTAATACGCGGCTCGGAGGTAAATCACACGTATAACAAACAACAGAACAATCCTGATTATGAAACACGTCACCAAACGGAGAACCTTCTTATTGTTTCCTTCCAGTTCCTGAGCTTCCGGTTGTTCCTCAGCAGATGAAACGTTGATTCGTTTCAGGATTTTAAGCATAAATGTGACTTTTCTTGACTCAATAGTCTTTAAGTTTGTCTTTTAAAAAGCTCAAAATGGAGCCTTTAAATTGTTTATTTAGCCAAACGTCTGTGAAATCTAACAACTGTGGTGGTGCTTTTTCATTAATAAATGACGTAAATAAGCAATTAGTTACCAAATTATTGATTATTTGTTCAAGTTCTTAACATGAAACCTTTGGATTTTGGACTGTCGGTCAAAATAATCAAACGCTGAAGGAGAGACGCCTTCGTTTTCTCATCACTTAGAGACAAAAAAAACATTTAAAGAACAAAATCTATTCATAAACCAACAAATAAAACATATTTAGTTGGTTAGAAATCATGTAATATGATGGACTTCCTTATTTAGCACCAATCAAAACTACTAAAGAAGGAACCGTCTTTCAAAGCGCTGCAGCTAAGAGTTACTTCTATTATTAAGAAATCTGTTTTATCTGTAAAACATCAGAACGTATTAAAATCCGCCCAAAAAGTTGGTTTAAAGTCACATTTAAGACACTGAAATGCTGCTAAAATGCATGTTTTCATATTTGATTGATGAAAAACTACTTTTCTCAGCCTCATTGTGTATCACAGTCAGATAAAGTCGTATTTTAAATCACTAATTAATCACCATGAATAACACTAAAGACTCTTAACGACAATATTTAAACTTGTGATTCACAGAAAAACACAGAAAAGCAGCAGGTGTTGTCCTTTGAAAGGCTAAAAGAGTGATTTGTGGGGGCAATTTCAGCTTTTATGAACACAATAAACAGAATTATATTATATTTCTCATTTATATCATCAAGCTGTGAAACTGTGAAAATATCTGATGGCTAATTTCTAGTTAAAACTAATTTCTAATTAAAACTATGCCGGGTTTCAGCCTTAATGTGTTATATTACACTCTGGTAAAGTCCTATTTTATATCATTTTGTGGGGTTTTAATCCGCAATATGTAAATAAATCGCACCATAAATACTCAGTAGAACTAATCTCTGATAAATATGATGATATATTGTATGATACAGGCAGATAAAGCAGGGTTTTAATCCCTAAAATGAAAATTATTCACTTTAAATAACACTATATGGTCTTTTCGTGGAGTTAATTCATTCAATTACAATTATTTTTACTGGATAACACTTTGATTCAAGTAAAACTAAACATCTGTGTTTAATAAATCAATCTGAAATCAGCTACATGGAACCTCAGCGTTGTTTTAAATCTCCGGTGTTCAGAGCTGTTGGTGGTAAATGTGACTCGAGGGTCCGTCTTCTCTGGTTAGAAACACATTTGTCCTACCCATGAACTGCATCTCCCACTCCCGGACGCTCTCCATCTGCACAGCGTTGAGGTCCGACAGGTCGTCGTACTCGTCCCTCAGGGCGTCTTTCTCCAGGCAGAAGGTGGCCAAACCTCTGGAGGCGTCCCGGCCCGCGAAGATGCCGTAAGGACCGTCTGAGGAGACCAAACGGAGAGAATCAGTTAACCGTTAAATTCTGATTTTCTACACTGATCAGTCTTCAGTTTCTTTTCTCAGTTAATCAGTTCATCCCTAACATGAACAAAATGAGTAAAAAAGTCCAACAGAAAGTCTTTAAAACTGTCGGTTTTAGTCAAACAACATTTCATAACCTGAAGACGGGCAGTGAGCTAAAGCCACCTAAAGCAGAAAAGTCCAAAAACTGGGAGGAATTTTTGGTACTTTTTCATTAAAAAAAATGTCTTAAATAAGTCATCAGTGATCAAAACTGGCTGCAAGTATTGATTCTTTACTTCAGCACCTGATTTTAAACCTTCGGACTTCAGCAAATCAAGGAGTAGCATATATTATTAACATATAACATCTAGAAAAAGGGAAAAGTGAGGATTTTTTGGGGGTTTTTTTAATTTAAAAAAATGTCTTAAATAAGCCATCAGTGATCAAAACTGGCTGCTGTTGGTCAAACAAATCAAACCAGGGTTTAAAAGCAGAGAAATAACAAGTAAAAAAAGGTAAAAGTGAGGAATTTTTGCAACTTCTTAAATTAAAAAAAACACCAGAAAAAGTGATGTCTGCTTCAGCTTTTAACTCAAAACCTTTGATTTTTGATTTAGACGCAAAAAAACAACGTCAAGGAAATAACCTATATTATAATAATAATAACCTTTGAAACTACAGAATTTTTGGCACTTTTTCATTCAAAAAAATTCCCTAAATAAGTCAACGGTGATCAAAACTGGCTGCTGTTGGTCGAGCAAATCAAATCATGGTTTAAAAGCAGAGAAATAACTAAAAAAAATGTGAAACTGAGTAATTTTTGGAACTTTTTAAACTAATGAAAATAACAGAAGAAGTCATGTTTGTTTCAGTTTTCAACTCAAAACCTTTGATTTTTGTTTTAGACACAAAACATGTCAAGAAAATAATCCACATAATAACAATAACCTCTGAAATTAAAGAATTTTTGGTACTTTTTCCAATAAAAAACATCCTAAATTAGTAATCGGTGATCAAAATTGGCTGCAATTATTGATTATTTGCTTCAGCACCTGATTTAAAACCTCTGAACTTCAGCAAATGAGGGTTTAACATACATAACAACTAAAAAAAGGTGTAAAAGTGAGGATTTTTTGGTTCTTTTTCATTAAAAAAAAACAAACAAACAAAAAAAACCAGAAAAACAGAAGATCCAACAAATCAAAGACAACTTTTTAGTTTTAGACACAAAAAACATGTCAAAGGAATAATCGATATAATAATAATAATAATAACAATAATGTCTGAAACTACAGAAGTTTTGGTACTTTTTCATGAACTCATGACTGAGCTCAGTAAGATTTTGGTGAAACAAATCAAGACTTTGAAGGAGGACATCTTGGTTTTTCTTCTTTTATAAATAAAAAAAGAAATGTCAAGAAGAGAAACTACAGATGAACCAATAAATCAAACAAACATCACTTGCTGGTTAACTTGGTTGTTTATCACCAAACACATCTGCTGCAGAAGAACCATTTGCAGCTGATAAGAACATTTACTACCGATCGATCACATCGAGGTTTCACACCGTTCTGAGGGTTTTACTGAGAAACAAGCAGCGAGAAATCGTCACATTTCCAGTGAATCCACAAGTCGTCCTCTGGCGGTTCATCTTGTGACCGGTTCTGAATGAATCTGTTCAATCTGCTCCGGAGAAACCAACACGTGCTTTTCTTTGATATAAAAAAAAAATAGCGTGCTGATGGTGACGAAGCAGATTCTCTACTTCAATACGACTTTGTTTTCTCAGCGAGACGACTGAAATGAAAACGGAGGAGCTGCTGCGATGTGAAGCTTTAGGAGGTTAACAACAGACAGACAGTTCATCAATTACTCGACTATCAGAAGATCAATCTTGTTAATCGCTGCCTTTCATGCTAAATAGTAATATTAATTCCTCAAAGCTGCTCAGATGTGATCAATACGTTGCTCTTCTTCATCACAAATGAGAGCAAACTTAATATTAGTTTTATTTCTGACTGTTATCAGCCGCGTGAACGCGTTAGCAGCTGAATTACTGTCATTAAATCAAATACATGAGAGAGAAATACCAATAAAAACAGTCGTTCAGCTGCAGGTTTGTGTTTTAATGAGACGTTTCACTCTTCTGGTTGAGTAAAAAGGAACAACTTAATATCTGCTTCGTCATCAAATTCACCGACTTCCTGTTTATAATAAAAAAGTATTAAAACTTTCAAGGCATTTAACTCAATTGTGGAGCTGCAGTGATTAGACGAGTAGTTAGTGGGCAGGAAGGTGATTATAAATATACTGAATTAATTTACTTTTCTGCCAGATGACACATGCATTCATCAATATTCAGCCTCAGCACTCATTTAACTGTAAAACATATGAAAGTTAATATGTTGTTGTCTCGCAAAAATGCCAAAAATTGATGGTTTAAATATGCTAACTTGCTGCTTCCTGTTGTCTTACATTATAGTAAAGTCATTAGTTTAGGAGTTTGGACTGTTGATTGAACAAAATGAGGCATTTAATGATATAATCTGGAACTCTGACTTAAAAATCTGACAAAAAATGTGTCCAACTTGGTTTCAAACGGTCCAAAATAACTTCAGGTTTGTCCAAAGTGACTCAAAAATACCAAAATAACTTGAAAAACAAATCAAAGAAATGTCAAAACTTATCTAAAATTGGTCCAAATTGACTCAAAATGTGTCGGAAATGACTTCAGATTTGTCCAAAACGATTTTTTTAAAATCCACAATGACAAAAAAAAACTTCTATACAATTCAAAATGTGACCAAAATCACTTAAAGTTGTCAAGAACGGTTCGCATTTTATCCAAAATGACTAAAGTGTCAAGAAATAATCTAAAAATGCCCAATTTGCTTTAAAATCTGTTCAAAATAATTAAAAAATTCGAATGTGTCCAAAGTGACTTGAAGTGTGGAACAAAAACTGACAAAATAACTTGAAAAATATCAAAACAAATCAAAAAAATTGTCAAAACTTATCTAAAATTTGTTCAAATTGACTCACAATGTGTCCGCAATGAGTTCAAGTTTGTCCAAAATGATTATAATAAATTCACAATGACAAAAAAAATCTATACAATTCAAAATGTGACCAAAATCACTTAAAGATGTCAAGAAACATTCACAATTTGCCCAAAATGACGAAAAAAGTGTCCAGAAATAATCTAAAAATGCCCAATTTGGTTTAAAATTTGTTCACAGTTTAAAAATTTTAATCAAATTTGTCCAAATTGACTTGAAATGAGTCGAAAGTGAAACAAAAACGGCCAAAATAACCTAAAAAATTTCAAAACAAATAACAAAGAAGTCAAAACTTATAAATTTGTCCAAATTAACTTAAAATGCGTCTGAAACGACTTCAGATTTGTCCAAAATGGTTAGAAAAAAATCGCAATGACACAAAAAAGTTCCATGATTCAAAATGTGACAAAGATCACTTAAAGTTGTCGAAAATGACTCAAAATGTGTCAGAAATATTATCAAAAATGCCCAATTTGGTTTAAAATTTGTTCACGATTTAAAAATTTTAAACAAATTTGTCCAAATTGACTTGAAATGTGCCCAAAGTGGAACAAAAACGGCCAAAATAACTTGAAAACTATCAAAACAAATCAAAAAAATGTCAAAACTTGTTTAAAATTTGTCCAAATTGAAAAAAAACCCTCCAAAATGGCTTCAGATTTGTCCAGAATGAGCCCAAGTGAAGGAAAAAGCAGCGATAAAACACATGAAGGGAAGCAGGAAGCAGAAAACACGAGATCTTTAATATCAACAGACAGAAAAACCGTCTCATCATTAACACCGAGGCCTCCAGGAGAGCAAATATTATGATGTGGGATCACGCTGGATGTCTCGTCTAATTTTATCGTCTAAATACTGAGCCGGTCCTACGGAGGCCGCTGCGTTTAAACGACGAGCTGTATTCAGGAATTTCCAGTTATCTGATCATCATCAATCTGCTTCCCTTCAAAGCAGCTCATAAAGTTCCCAGACGCTGCCTGAAGCCTCGCCTCCAGCGTTCTCCTTCTGCTCCACGTCTTCCAACGACACGGCGACGAGAATCATCTGACTAACATGTGAAACATCTGCGGGCGCTTCAGGTTTTCAAACTGCAGGAAAAAACACTCGACGCCGCTGAAGAGTCCGTGAAGGCTTTTATCGCTCCTGAGATTAGATGTGCTCTTTCTCACCTTGCACAAGCGACAACCAGCAGATAAAAGCTGCAGACGGGATCCAACAGGAAGTCACTACAACGGGCTGGTTTTTCTCTTTCAGCGACTATTATTAGAATCGTTTCGCTTCTTTTTGAACGTCAGGAATCGTGACTCGGAGCCACGTTTGTGCCCGAATGAAGTCTGAGAGCGTCGGCTTGTAAACCCAGCCGCCTCCAATTGATGTCATTTCTGATTAATTTACGAGTCTGTAAAAACGTCTAAATCGACAACAAATGCATCGTTTTGTCCGACTGGCGTGATTCCCGGTTATCACCCCACGTTTTACACATGCAACGATAGAAATAAGTGCAAAAAGCAGAGCAGAAAACACGCCTAAAACTCACGTAACTCACTTGTAAGATCAGTTTCTAGAATAAAACATACACAAAATACTAGAATATTAAAGGACTGACAAGTTGTGAAAAGTACAAATATGTGCAACTAAAATAAGTTCTGGATTTTCTACCTTACTTCTAAATCAATCGCCAACTATTTCGCTACCAGATTATCAAGTTTGAGTAACTACTTAAGAAGAAAACAGTCTGAATTCTCTGATTCCAGCTTCTGAAATGTGAATATTTTCTTTGTTTTCTCTCTGTGACAGTAAACTGAACACCTCTGGGTTGTACAGAAAGCAGAAATCTTGACATTTTTCACTGTTTTCTGACATTTTCAAGGCAAAACTGTTAATTTAGTGAGTTGCAGCCCCGCTATCAGTCCCTGCACTCAGTCAATAGTGGAACATATACGAGTAAACATATTAAATTGTGTTTTTGTCGAGCAAAAATGTAAAATATGAATAATATTCGTTCATTAAAGCTGCTCTAATGTGACCATGTGTTGCTTTTCTTCATCATAAATGAGAGTAAACTTCATATTACTGGGATTTTTAATGAATTTCTGAATATCATCAGCATTACTGGCTGTTTTCTGAACGAAATTACTTTAAATAAACCAAATACGTGAAAAAGAAATGATAAAAACAGTTGTTCAGCCGCAGGTTTGTGTTTAAGGAAACATTCCTGAACTTAAATATTAATAAATATAATAAATATTTAAATATAAATACATTAAATTCAGATTTTTAATAGCAAAAATGTAAAAACATGAATAGCTCCAGGTCCTCAGATGTGATCATTTGCTGCGTTTTGTTTTCTTAAATTATAATAAATTGATTATCTTTAAAAGGTTGGACTGTTGGTCAGACAAAACGTGAACTTTAACGAAACTTTTCTGCAAGAATATCATCACGTTAACAACGCTGAGGTAAAAGAAGAAGAAGAAATATTGTGTTATGAGATGATCCTACATATTTCTCAGCTCTTGTTGCTGCAGTTTAATTTGTAATAATAATAATTCTCAATCAGTGTTAACGTAAAAACTATATTCTACTGACAGGGTTGTTTTATATTTATTTATATAACCCACATATAGATTCATAATGAATAAATTAACCTTATAATCAATTAAGTATTTTCTGTGGAGCTGCAACAGTTAATGTCTTAATCAATTAGTTATTGATCATCAACTGTTCTCGCAGTCGATTCATTAGTTTGTCATGTTATAAGAAGAAAAAAAAAGTCCACATTTTGTGATCGCAACTTCTTAAATGTTCTTTTCTGCTTCATGACAGTAAACTGAACATGTTTGGGTCGTAGAGAGGGGTGTAAAGATTCACCAACACGAATCGATTTTAACTTTAACGATATGAACACATGGCTCGGCGGCCTCTGGGTCCATCTGTATCTACCGGTTGTAAAGTTATGAATCGGTTGATACTAAACATGGCCGCTCCAGTCTCGTGAGACTCCCGCTGTGACGAGAGTGACGTTCTCTTAACGTGTCTGCTAGCAACAACAACACCACAGCATGGTCGACAGCACCGGGGTTTACACCACCGATGTTTGCTGTATTTACGCTCCAGATGTTCCGTTCACGACCAGACCTGCCTGAGTGTGAAGATAAAGACGCTGCATGAAGAAGACCTCACTGAAAAACATCACTCGTTAATAAAGCATCGCATCGTATTAAACCGTATTGTCAGTGAATCACATCGTAACCCATCCACGTGTCTAGACTGGAATCGGATCGCCTCTTACGGTGGAGATGAACACCTCTAGTCGTGGACGAAAAACACATTTGTCATCTTGGGTTTTAGGAACCGGAACCATTTTCTGGTCTTTTATGGAGAATCTACTCGTTCAGTGAGCTGCGGCTCCACTTTCCCATCAGCTGACACGGGCATTCATAATAAGTTGTTGTTTTTTATTGCAAAAATGCCACAA